ATAGTGATAGAACAAAACTATGCCTACAACTGATCTTTAAAGGTAATGTGTCATTCGTCAGTTAACCCTTAAGACCCTAAGATCAAAATTAAAATTCTCATTTGTCGCCCCTATTCATTTACTATAGAACGAGTGGGGAGAAGTTTATAAAATATCAAGCATTTTCATGTTGTGTGATCATGTCTGTAATTTTCATGACCACTCTATTTTACAAAGCATTGCTGTTACAAGGAGAAATTTGATGCTGGTCACTCTTAGGGTTTAAAGGGTGAACAAGTAATTCATTGGAAGCTGGATTTACAAGTGTGAACGAGTTAGTAACATGAGCTTAACTACAGAAAGTAACGACAACTCAATTCTGTTTCCTTTTTAGCAATTGCAGAGGTTTACAACAATGAAGGAAATGAAGCATTCAGTAACAACGATTATGACAATGCCGTTTACTTTTACACTGAGGGAATCAAAGTAAATTGCAAAGATAAAGATCTCAAAGCAAAACTGTACCGCAACCGGGCAACTGCACACCTCTGTTTGGGTAAAGCTATTATGTATTTTACATGTCAATCTTATTTCTGTCTAGCAGTTTATGAAATTAATATCTATTAGATCCAGGCCTTGTGTTTCAAAAAAAAAGTACTTTTAAGATGATAAAAATTGCGTCCTGTCTGCTCTTTGTGACGCTCCTGAACTGGCGCATATTTTCCTTGACTATGAGTGACTGTCTTTTTAACATTCACAGGAAATTACAGCGAAACGTTGAGAGATTTAAAGATGCCTCTGATAAACGACCACACTTATTCTAAGCAGTAATAACAGGTAATTTTATTAGTTTTTAAACGGTGTAAGCAGTTTACCGCGATATTTTAAGGACGGCATCATTTTACTTCAACCCCGGCCAGGGGAATCACTTTTGAAATTGACGGGGATGCTCATCGGCTAATTAAAATCAAACCTCTGAATTAAAAGAGACCAATAAGGGCGTGGTAGTTGATCCCTATCAGACACCCTCATACCACCTCGTCCCCAGGGTCTTCTCAGGCCATATTGGATAACGAAAGACCCTGGGGACGAGGTTGACCCCTATAAGTTTTCAAGTAGCCAATTTTTAAAAACAATTATTTTGTCTCCTAATCTTACTAGTTCAAAAAGACCCAAAGAGAAAGGCTTTCGTGGTCAGTGGCAGATGTTTTGAATACGAAATTGCAAGTCAAACTTCTATGATGTCTCAAGCTGTTGTCACAGTGCTCGAGGAAAGATTCAAGCCCGGCGAAGGCGTGGTTGGAATTGCACGTGCATTTTAGGAGCTACAGCTGGTACACGTTGTTATTGCATCACTGCGGCAATTGACGACATTTATGAGACACTTTTACGAACAATTTAATTACAGCGTAGAGTACGAGTAAGACCCTCAATAAGACCGTGAAATGGATGCGATAGTCTAACAATACTGATGCCGTGAAGCACAGGGAGGCCAACCAACTGACCAGATTGGCGACGTCGTCACTTTTACATTGTTCAATTTTTGGGGAATTTTGAACTTCCCTTTTTGTTTTGAACATAGCCAGTCTACGCAATACCAGACCTTGAGTACAATTTCCTTTTTCTACAGAATCACTTGCAATTGCAACGTTGTCAAAACGCGAAAAAGGAGGAACCCACAAATTTAAACATCAATTTCAAGGAACCCTAGTACGGTTTGGATCAAAAGGAAATGAAAAAAAAAACCTAGCAGAAGTATTAAAAATGACCCAGCTACCCTTGTTCCCAGCGTTATAAATTTGTTCAATTTCCTGCTATTATAGAAGGAACAAGACGAAATACCTTTTATCCTTTCTCGATTTTCTATGTTCTAGGCAGGTTCTTGGAAAGTATTGAACACAATTCCCACCTCAAGTTTATGAGGTTAATGCTTTTCTTCTCTCAAAAATATATCCTCAAGACAGTGAGTTTGTTTTACAACTTAATTCTTTTCCTTCTGACGAAACAAATGATGAAAAGCGCGTGCACAAAAATCAGCCAATAAAGAAGCGTTTTCCGAATGCCCGGTTAACACCTGTTTCCAGCTCGCGCGCCGCACCCTGATTTTAAATTGCGCCAAAAGGGCGGTGACCATTGAACACTGAAACGCTAACTTGATCTGTTTCCCTCCAAAACGCCGTTCACTGTTCAACTAATTGAAAACAGTTCACTTTTACCATCTTCTTTTTTTTCAGTTTTAGGACAAATCTTTTACTTTTAGTTAATTAAAACGCAGGAACTTCAGTGGGTAAAATTCTTATATTTTGATAGAGTAAGGCTACAATAATACACGTGATAAGTATAGTGCTACTTGAGTATATAGTAGTTATACCTCCTTTTATAAGAGCGGTTTTAAGTCGCTTACCGTCTAAATAATTCCGATTGCTTTAACCTTCCGTTTGCGTTCTTTGTGATTGGCTAAAAGCTTAACCAATTAGATGTAAGAACAAACCAGCTCCTGCATACAACTCTTTTTACACCGCTTTGTTCTGGATGGGTTGTCGATCTCTGCTTTGATTGGTCAGAACGATTACTTTATTTGGTGTCACGACACAAAGACCGCACTGTTTACGGAGGGAAAACTACTGAGTATACTGAGTTTCTAAGGCAAACTACTGTGCTGGCATAAACAATTCTTAAAAAACAGTCCTTTTCGCGGACTCCAATTGCTACTTGAACTTATATTCTTCTCTACTTTGGCCACAAATGATATTTAAGGCTATGATCGCATTCCCTCTTATTAGCTCCCTGGGGCTTATTTCATCCCAGCGCTCCTGGAACGAGGGGTTTTTTTAGACATTCTCGTTGCCGTCGCAGTTGCCGTTGTCCTTGCCTAAGCTCCCCATTACTTAAATTAGAGGGGGGGTCATAAGATTCAAGGGTCATTAGCTTCTGGGGGACAAAAAGAGGAAATACGGTGATTTGAACTACAAAAAGTAATGTTTTATATTAAATTTCTACAATCATAAATACTACGTGATATGGATTGATGGCACACCATGGAATATTCCACAAGCTTCTTGAATATATATTAGACTTGAGAATACAAGAAACATTGGATCAGTACTCTTTGTTGTACTATAATGAAGCATGGTCTATTTTATCCCACTCCATAGAAAATACTCAGGTATTTAGTGAAGTCTAAATAATAAGGCGTAGACTTTTTCATCGTTCCCAAAACTTATGATAGGCAAAATTTAATTTTTGTCAGCGTGAGGGCAAGTCAAACAGCAGCGCCTGACAAGAATAAACAGTTGAATACCGACGAAAATTCAATAGCTTCTCCTCCATTCTGATTAGCTATATTTTCGATGGTGTGAGATACCGTAATTACTGAAAAAACTCTTGTTAGGGGAAGCCAGTTCCCACCAAAAATATCTTTCTAGATGTTTTTCTTAAAATAAATTGCTACGGAAATTTCACAGTAAAGAAAATCGATAAAAAAAAACTGTGATGCGATTTTTGGGAGTGTGATTCATGTATAATCAGTAAGTGGGAAATTACTGTAAGCTATTTATCATACATTTTTGTATTAAAATTGTGAAGACACGAACAACGTCGTAAAGCATCGCTTAGAATAAGTAACAATAATTTAGTTGGTTAAATCTCCTATTCAATCCGTTAAGTTACCTTTGTTATCACATCTACTTCAACATACAACTCATAATAACAAAAATAAATTATTAGGGTAAATCTCTAATTACCAAAATTAGGGCTTTGTTATACACTAAATGAGGCTTTTAACTGGATATTTTGAGGTTGTGCGCTTGACTGGATCAGTGTTATGTCAAACTGTACTATGGGAATGTTTGTGGGACAACCATCGACTCGTTTCTTTTTGTTGGCTATTACAAAGTTGCAGAGGAAACTGAGTCAATTTGTCCGCCGAAACAGCATACATGTAGTGCAATTCAACGCGACACTGACTTAGACTCTCGCGCGACATTAAAATGGCAAATAGCGTTGAAGCAAACCTAGCCAAGTGAACAGAATTGATGCCGGATGCAAAACTTGGGTCGTAAAATGGGGCAAACAGTCACTGAATATTGCTTAAAATCCAAAACAGTTATTTGGCCAATCTACTGATTGCATATGATCGATTGATAAAAAAAGTTGGTGATCAGGATACAAAGCCCAAGTTGTTTCCAGTATTGTTTCACTAACGAAAAAGCTGGGAAATTGGACTCTTTCAGTTGGCGCAATGTGTTTTAAAGAACCGTGCTAGTTACGGAGCGGTTTTCTAAGAAGCAATTTTTCACTTATCAGAAAAAATAGGTTTGAACATCTGGTACTGGTAGGTTTCTTAGCTCCAAACATCTACGGAATATCGCCCTTTAGCGCTGAGTTTCTTCACGTAATCAGTAGCTTCGTTCTCTGTCATTCCTCCATTCTCCTTTACAATGGTCACCAGCAAATTGTGAACATCACGCGCCATATTGCGGGCGTCGCTGAAAAAAAAACATGTTATTGGTGAAACCGTCGTAATAAAGGCTTAGCAAGCGTTTATATGAGAAAAAAAGTGACCCCTTTGCCTTTCATTGGATGATTCCCGAGCCAAGAGCGCTCGCACATGCTCTGATTGTCTCGTACCATCGAGAAAAGGGTGACCCGGCTAGCCAGGTTACCATTCTTGCCGGGCTATCTTTTTGTTTCTCATGAATAAGGGGGAAGAAAATGTAGGAAAAGTGGGCTCACCCCAAAGTGAATAAATCTAAAACAAAAAAAAGGTAGCAAAATATAATAGGCATTTATTTCATAGTTTTGAGTGTTCTCCCTTCGTTACAATAATAACATGTAAAATCACCCATTTCGACATATAAACGTCTCGAGCACGATGTCCGTGTTCAACCTTTCATACGAGCTGGTCTAACGTAGGACACACCTTCCCAGTTTCACTAAATTTTAATAAAGAAACCTTTCTTTTTTCTCCGTCGGTTCTTTTGTAGTTGACATGCATTATACTGAGTATTACTAGTGTTTGTGACCTTGGATAACTAAAAAATATGGCTGTCACTAAGATCTCAAATTGTAAGGTATATGCAATTAGTAGACTTCCATTGAAAAGAGCCGGGATTCAGCTCAAAGTAGTGGAGAGAAATCCCCGGTCCCCGAATCTAAGTGACAGCCCTGTAATATTATTTACCCCATGTCAAAAAAAATACAGCCAATCAGAAATCTAGAAACCGGTAGCATTTCACTGAAAAATCCCGGCGGTGCTTGCGGCCTCCACATTTTCCCGCCAAAAATGGAGCGGCTGGCACTTTTTGTTCTACCAAATTTTTCAGAAGCAACTTTGTAACAAGACTACAAAACCCAAGTTTTAATATTACCATTCGGATTTCTTAGAAGTCATAGTTAAAAAAGGAATATGAAACGACAGCAAACAGACTACAACGGGCAAAGAATTTTTCATCTGAGACTAACGAAACCAAAGCAGTGTTGCGAAAACCGGGATGGGTACACAGCTGCACTTAGAAACAAAGTCTAACCCATCAGAAAAATTTGCCAGCTATCTTCCAATTTTCTTCAGATGCAAGTAAAATAGACAGAGGTGAATACGAACTTTATTCATTGACAAGCTGTCGATCATTTGGGAATTGTTGTTAACAGACTGCCTAGTGTAATTGTTTTTTCTTCGAGTTTACCCGTGATGCCGAGGTTTGACGTCATCATGTTGAGTGACAGGCTCGATTACCAGCCACTGTTCGGGGAATGAGCCCCGAGAGAGCGGCGAAAATCGAGCCTAGTTGAGTGACAGGATAAATAATTCTTGTGTTATGCAATGTTTCTCGTGGTATACCGGAAACATCCCACACGTGAACTGATTTTTTTTATATAAACACTCGCCTAGAGGGCGTGTGCATACTAAGAGGCCTTCCCAGCGTAAAGACAACCTCCCTCCGCCAAATTGCGACAGTGACGGCAAAGCCGAGAATAAGCGACAAAGAACGGTGGTTTGGCTAATTTATCAACAGTCTGAATGCTAAGGAGAAGTAATTTTCTTCAATTTTCCTTGGGCTTCAGAGAACGTCTCTTGTCAGTGAGCTTCAGTCTGTTCTCTGGACCCTCCTGTGAATTGTGTTAATTGTGAATGGCGATGTATAGGTGTTTGATACGCGAAATGTTAACTGAGAAAGCCCAGAACTGTAATGATTTCTTCACAGCGCATCGCTATCCCCCTTTTCTAAAACTCCGACAATGTCAAAGAATTTTTGTTCAATTTCCGACAGCGACGTGAAGCATTTATGAACACCGACACGAGACATGACATGGGACCCTCCCCCCCCCACCCCCGCTGGCAGGGCCTCTACTAAGAAAAATCAAGTCATTCATGAGATATTTCATGGTGCTGTCGACTCTCTCTTGACGGTCACCTCTATAAGCCGGTCATCTCTCTTAGACGGACACTTTTTGATGGTCCCAAAGGTGTCCCGGCGTCTTAGAGAGAGAGCTGACTATACAACTCGAAAGTATTGCTAACGAAAGTTAGAATTATTGAACGTGTTTCAGTTTAAAAAAAGACTAAAGCATCTTACCCGCAAACGTAAATGTGGCCTCCATTATCCAATATCTTCCAAATGGATTCTTTGTTTTCAGCCATTTGATTCGTCACATAGACTTTTTTCTCCTGAGCAAAAACAACAACTGTCTTTTAGTCACAAAATCTACAAGAAACCGTGCAGCAAATAAAGTTGTTGCAGTTTGCAGAAAGTAGAGTATACCGTAAATCATCTATTAAACCCCCGGGGGCTTATTTATTTCAAATTCATTTTAAGGGGGGCTTAATAGAGACGAACGGCGCATTTAAGAGGGGGTTATTATTTAATTTAGCAAAGACGAAGGTATTAATTCTTCATAAGGAACTAGAATAGAAAGTGGAAAAGCTCAAGTACAAGAAGTTAGAGGTCATGCAGCCGAGAATCAAAAACAAATTCGAAATTCCAGTCGGTTAACACAAGTCATGGATCAGTCCACACGAAGTTTTAGAGTCGTGATTGATTATTACAGTCCAACATTTGCTAGTGAAGAATGATAAGTGGGAGGGGCGGGGCGCTTAAAAGAAAGGGGGGATGTATTAACGTTCTTCCCCTGAAAAAAAAACGGGGGCTTATTTGAGAAGGGGAGGTGAATAGATGGTTCACGGTAGCTCTAACATTTTTACCGGCCCAAGGCCAACTTGTTTTGTAGCAAGTTTTTCTCCCCTGTAATTTTATCCTGTCAGAAGTCGGTATTCATGCTATTGTTAAAAACCTGATTTTTACAATACACGGGTGGTAAAACGCGCAACATCGCTTTTCACCTCGTTTTGCAGCCCGGTTGCAAAGCAAAATACACCCGTTTGCTAAGCCATTTTACCATTGATTTACCTAAAACAGCCGCGTTACAAACAACAAGATTGCAACCGACAACGACAACAACAAAAACGAGAGTTTTTGTCTCACCTGGTCGCGGGAGAAAGCCACATGCAGGTCAGCGATTGTTCCATCTTTTTCATAAGAGGTAAGTTCATCCTCATATATGTAATCCTCACTCTTCTTGCGGCATCCAAAAAACAACACAATGTCCCCAATTTGTTTTCCTGTTAACAAAAAAAGACCTATTTATTTTGCCGTGATACAAGCTTATGTCTACGTGAGTCCGTTTATATGAGTAAACGCGTTCACCTCTAAATATGTAAAATGCGTCGTTAACGGACATTTTTCGTTGCGGTGTCTAGAACGGACTAGTTCGTAACCTTAGAGAGGTTTGTCTCAGAGAGGTTTTCGCCTTAAACTAAGATTTATAAATAGAATTGATTGAACAATAGGAAGGACCAAAGAAAGAACGACTAAAGAACAACAGGGACCACAATACTCGTCACAAATCGTTGAAGAAGACACCTTTTTTTGTGAATTTCTCGAAACTTTCTTACAATCACTCATCGCACTTTGGTTCTCACTCCAATGTGCACGTCTCCTTCCCCAATGTTAAGCCAAGCGTATTTTGGAGCACTGAGACGACTGTAATACCCAAATCAACATTGGGGAAGGGGAAACGCACACAGGTGTTTCAAGATTTTTGACGAGTATTGTAGCTCTAGGTTTCCGTTTTAGGAAGGTGTATTTTTTTAAAAAATAACATTTACTACACACGTACAAACTACATTTCATTATCAACGTCAGTAACGGAGACATGTCATGGATCATCATGTAGTTCAGGAGCCATTATTGCTCTCGGTAGTTCTTACTGTTGAACGTGGAAACAAAATCCTTGGTTGTGACCATTAAAATAAAACCACTCCGACAGTACTTTCACGTGGTACTATTTATTTAGTACGTAAATCTAACTTAAATAAATCTAAGCCTACGTTGAGACCATTCCAATGAAACCCCTTTTGCACAATGCTACTAATTTTTCAGTGTTTAAAAACACAAAACGACACGTTTTTCTTTTTTTGAACTTTGATTTTACTGTACACACCATTCTGTTTCTGCATATGTCTGTCCTGTATGAATCCTCTAAAAGGCGCCAAGCCCGTCCCAGGCCCCACCATGATAACAGGTGTCACTGATTTAAACGGCAGACGGAACTGGGTTTTACGGACAAAGATTGGAACGCGAGGAGGTTCTCCTTCTGCAAAGGAAGAAAATGTAGA